CTCACAGCTTGCATCTTGATCCATCTCTTGTTTGCATGGATGGATTCATCAGTGAACGACATCGAGCTCTTCTACCACCTGGAGACGCGCCGGCCTCCTCCATCGCCGGGGAGGGGGAGCAGCACGGCTGTGCCACCAGCGGCATCTGCTACTCTGGCGGCGGCCATCAGCAGATAACAACGGCGGCGGTGAACTGGTTCAACCCATCCTAATTTGTTTTGAATCAGTGAATTGGCTGGATGCACTGGTCAAATTAGCACAAGGGTAGTTTTGTCCACTGTTTTTTGTATATATTATGTTAATCATTTGCAAGTATTATTTTTGTGTGAAAAAGTGGCAAAAGATCAAAGTGCAAAGTAAAGAGTGGCAACAAGTCAATTACAATGTAATGAGTGGCAAATTATCAAAGTGCAAAGTAAAGGCCTGTTCGGTATCTCGCCAATTTCAAAACTCCGCTCCGTGCTAGGAGCTGGTTCCGAGCCACTCCGTAGGATTCCACTGCCGCTCCCTCCGCTCCGGGAGTCGCAGCCGTGGAGCCGAGTGAATCCGAACAGGGCTTAAGTGGTGGCAAAAAGTCAAAAACCCCGACATTGTGGGTCCATACTCCGGCGGCAACGCTTCAGCGAAAAAAAACCCCTATCCTTCGAGACGCTGCACGACGGCAGGGACGCATAGCTATGGCGACGGCGGAGGCGACAGGCGAGGGTTCGGAGTTCCTATCGGATCCAGTTGACAGGTATGTTTTGCTGCCGCCGTTTTTTGTTCTCGCCCCCGGCTGATGTAAGCAGACTCGCATCTTATTAGTGCGCGCCTTCATTTCCGCAGGTTTCCTCTGCCAGATCTCGCCGCCGATGAATCGCTGGTAAGCGGCGGAGGCAACCAAACTTTCGTATGCACGGCTACCGAATTCAGTATCGGTGATGTGGGTGATGCGGCGGTGACATTGGAAGTAGATTTGCAGAGCGAATGCAATGTAGTGGCTCTGTCGGCGCCGAACTCAGAGCAGTCGACGGGCAAAGACGATCCTCAGGCGCCGGGCTGGACTAAGAGGTATACGCCACATTTGTAGGCTCAGTAAACCTGTAAATTCGACTGGACTGATAATGTTCTCCTCATGTATCATATCGATCTATGCTGGTCTTTACAATATACAGGCAGACAGACACATTTTAAATGCAGTTACGATGTATTTTTCTGAATCTAAGCTAGTTAAGGTTACCCCATTTTTTCTGAATTATGTATGTCTGCGTTGTGCAGACTGCTTGTTGGGCATGCACCTGAAGTCCTGAAGAACGCCCTCCGTGTGCCGGCAGAATGAGTGCTCTTGAAAAAGCATTGAGAAGATATACTGAGAAGAAAACTGACACTGTAATAGTGCCTGCAGTAGGAAGCACGTCTGATTCACTTGGAGAAGCTTATGACTATTACAATTTGTATTCCTGGGAAATTGGGGATTTGGGGTAAGATATGGCAAGAGCAGGCTTAATGTTGAAAGGACAAAATGCATGCAAGAGATAGTATGTGGCTGCTCGGTAAGCACTGATTTTCAGTTGATTGTTGTGTGGCAATGGCAGATGTTGTGTCAACAAAAAAAATAGTTACTGCCTATCAAGGGAGTCTGAACTAACAAAAAATAAATGTTGTTTGTTTGTGGCATTTGCAGGGGATTCCATAGAAAAGCAACACCCGGACTTGCCGGTGCAGGTGCCCCGCGCTCATACGATTGCTTCGATCAAAGGACAATGGATGGTACATAAGTGAGTTCATACCATCACACAGCCATTCTTTAATGGAGAAGTGTGGCAAGAAGGTGTACTCGCCGTCACACAGACATATCGATATATACACACGTGATGTGGTTAAGCAACTCCATGAAAATAACAATAGCATTGGCAAGGTTTACAATATAATGGAGTAGTTTCTTTGGTTCAATGTCCAATGTGCCATTCATCAAAAGAGCGTTGAGGGGGCTATGTGGCAAGATCAGCCGTGAGCAAGCAGACGATGATGTCAGGAAGACAATGGATGTTTTTGCCGAGTTGGGAGCAAAAGATACTGGTCTGTACTACAGAGTGCAGTCGGATGAGGATAGCCGCATACGGAATTTGTTATGGTCAACCGGATCAAGCAGGGCCCAGTACCACTTCTTTGGAGATGCGATAACATTTGATACAACATACCGTACCGACCTCTTTGACATGCCATTTGGCCTGTTTGTGGGAGTCAACAGACACTTCTAGACCATGATATTTGGTGGCGTCCTAGTGAGAGATGAGACAGTCGAGACTTTTCAGTGGGTATTCACTGAATTCATTCGCATGATGGGCGGAAAACATCCACAAACTTTGCTTACAGGTAAAAAGGGACATTATATCTAGCAGTCAGACTTTCCATATAGCTTATATCTTCAATTACCTACATTTCACTACGCCTGATTGTGCCTTAAAAATTGCTTCATTAGACTCGACTTGCACTTCTTTTGATATATTGCTCTCCTTTCACTGAGTTACTTGCCTAAGAGCGCTTCTCCTTTCATGTATATGCAGATCAATGCAGGTCCATGGAGATAGCAATGGAGAAAGTGATGCCAGAAACCACTCACCGCTGGTGCAAGTGGCACGTGCTGAAGAAGGCAAAGGAGTCTCTGGGACCATACTACACAAAGCGCAACAAATTCAGGCCAGAGTTCCACAAGATAATACTCCCTCCGTTCAGAATTACTTGTCACACAAATGGATGTATCTACAACTAAAATACATCTAGATACATTCATTTCTTGGACGAGTAATTCCGAACGGAGGGAGTACATCACATGCTGACAGTGGAGGAATTCGAAACTGCATGGAAGCAACTGACAGAATCACATGGTTTCGAAAAACATCCTTACCTTACTCACATCTATGAAACAAGAGCAAAATGGGCTAAACCGCTAAACCATACTTTAAAAGTAAATTTTGTGCCAAAATGACAAGCACACAGCGCAGCGAGAGTGCGAACCATATGCTCAAGGGTTATGTTCCAGCAAGCTGCCCCATGCATCTCTTTGTTCGACAGTACATGCGGCTTCTTTCTTATAGAGAAGCAAATGAAAACTATGAGGAGAGGCGCACAAAAATAGTAAGTTTTTGAAATATCATATCTTTCGTAGTGACTGATGTGTGCTATGTAACTGATGCATTCTCCACACAAACAGGTAGCCCCAGAAAATGAACACGCGAAGAGTTGCATGCAAGCAGAGTCTATACACGAGCCATGTTCTAAAAATTTGGTGAGATTATATACGAAGCAGGTCAATACAGAGTAGAGGAGGTGACTAGACAGAAAACCTACTTGGTGCGACGATACCACCCAAAAAAATTATGAGAAGTGGGGCAGGATTGTCTACAAAGTAGAACTTGCTGACGAAGGGAATGAGTTGATATTTGAGTGTTCTAGTTTCGAACACACAGGTCTGCTATGCTGCCATTCAGTGAAGGTAAAAATTAAATCCCTTGGTACATGACGCGGGGTGAGCGGTAGACAAACCTGTATGATATGCCATTTGGGCTGCTTGTGGGAGTCAATAATCACTTCCAGAGCGTGATTTTTGGCGGTGTGCTAGTAAGAGATGGGCAGTGGAAACTTTTCAATGGGTGTTCACTGAATTTACCCGCGTGATGGGCGGCAAACATCCACAAACCGTGCTCACAGGTGAACAAAAAAATGATGTGTTTGAAATTTAAAATTTCATCTAGCTTCATAATTCACACTCAGTTACTTCACATGATTCCGTTGAGACGACTAGCGTATTGATTTTCCATTCTTGCTAGCACACTCTTTGTGATGTTCTCTCTTTTTCAGTATACTAGTTCAATAAAATGAATGTTGAATTGCATTTGCAGATCAATGCAAGGCGATGGAAGTAGCAATAGAGAAAGTGATGCCACACACGACTCACTGTTGGTGCAAGTGGCACGTGCACTTTGTAATTTCGTGGGGCTAAAAGCTCCAGAACAAAAACGAAAGCCCGGTCACCAATCACCCGCAGGGATAAACCTCCATATGATGATCGTGGTGCAAAAAGCAAGAAGTACAGACTGACAGCAAATGCACAAGCTTGAAATGGATGCGGGACAAGTAAATGAACTCGCTTGTCCATTATATGTTGAGAACCAGGGCACAAGAGCACCACATGTCCACAAAGAGGTGATCTTCCTCAAAAAGAAAGGAAAGCGGCAAAATGCTCGAACTGTGGCTTCGGTGGTCACAGGAAAAACACCTGCAGCAAGCCTAGGGTTGTACTCCATGTTGAAATTGCTACCTTAGAGCCAAATGCAATTTGCGGGTGACTTAATTTAGATTCAGTGTTTGTTCTGTGTTGTTGAGGGCGTTGTAGCCGTTAACTTTAACTGCAAGACTCTTGTTGTAATAATAACCGTCAGTGAAGTACGCGTTGTTTGTGATCAGGTTGTCGTTGTGATTTGAATGTTTATCATGTAGAGGAAAAAATGTATGAGAGTCTGCCTAATGTTGTAGTGTGCATGTGCATCTCCCCTTTTGTATTTCACTGAGTTCTTGTTTGAGAAATCAATCTGGTCTGGTGCCTTGTGTGAGAGATTCAGTTGATTTTATTTGTTCCCCTCTTATGAGATTGCTTGACGTCATGTTCCTCTGCACCTCTGGGCAGTGGTAGCAGTAATTCAATACAAGTGACGCCTGTATGTGTGCAATGCGCTGGAATCCTGTTAGTTTGATTTTCAGACTCTTTGAAAGGGATCCGTCAGAGTTAACCTTCTCTTTTTACACCTGCTTAGCTAAAAACATACTCCCATTAATATTATTAGTTGCACAAACGAGACTACATCACACAGCTTAAACTTGATCATTACAAAAGTTCGCCATCAGCAACACTGTAGCTGCGCCTACACCATTATACACTTGGCTGCTAACCAATGACACAAACATCATAATACTTGATTTGCAGGTACAATGGTACGCCGTGCTCTATTCGCAGCTGGCGCCTAACGAAGCACGTGCATGACCACAACCAACACAAGGATTGCCACCCCAGTGACAAGGTTGGCCTCGGAGACCACCAGATTGATGGATGCAGCGTCAACGCCAATGGTTCCCTGGCGCCCAGCAGCTGGAAGCACGGCGAGCATGTATCCTGCAGCGGCGCTGACTGAAGAAACGAACTGGGTGCCCCCGGCATGCCGTTCTGCTGCCCTGTGGTGTGGTGCGTGCGGCACCTGTAGATCTTGAACTCCCAAAGCTTGGCCGCCTTGCTCTTATCCTGGCTCGATTTGCGCCAATGGGGGTGCGGCTGGACACGGCGACGCGAGGTGGTCGGCGTACGCTTGCTGCCACTTGTAGAAATTGCATCCACCACCTGACGGCTGTCGTTGACCGGCGAAGAGGGTTCAGACAAGTGATGTTGAACAAATCTGAAGAAATTTATGCAAAAACTGGACACTTACATTGTGATTGCGGCACTTGTAGAATCGCTCGCCGGCGCTCTGCCCGCAACGAGCAACGTAGGCGACTACGTTCCTGCCATAGTCCAGGCAAGGCAAGATTGGAAGTGCCGCTGGATCAGCACCTTGATTCAGATTTGCCATCTTTTCTGCGGCTGCTATTCCTTGCTCCGATTTGGGGGTCTATTGAGGAACAGTGTGCAACTAGGGTTTGTTCCTTTGATTTGGGGATGGACTATTATAGACTGAGCCGCCGTCGATGATAGATGGGGAGTTTAATGGAGTTGGTAGGTCTGACCCGAGCGGAATTCAGTCTAGCAGGGATACACATTGCTTCATGATGAAAACGGCCGTCGCTAGCGCCTCAACGTCCGTCACCCGCACTGTACAAACTGTCTCTTCCCGTCCGCTTCACTCATTAAATGAGTCGTCGTCTACGAGCTGGAATACGGCGTGCGTTCCATATCCCGACGAGGACCGACGCCTGCAGATAACGCGAGCAGGCGAGCTCGTCCACGCCAACAAATTTTCGTGTCGTTAAGTTCATTTTCTGCAAAGATATCTTGAGAACTCTGTGTTAATGTAATTAATAGCAAAGGTACAAAAGTTTTAGAAGCCCATGATATCGCATACACATAAATAAAAGATGTTTGCTCTTGAATTCGGTGTGGCTACGAAAGCACTGCATTTAAAATGAAAACAAGTTTGCCAGTCTTCCCTCTTCAGGTATCGCTTCATGTAAGGAGTAAGACTACAATAAACCAATCATCTCCCAAGAGTTACAAGAGGAATATATAACTACGTAAGAAAATCAAGGATCTGTAAAGCCATTTGGGTGTCTTGAAATGTATGCATTTCCTTCACAACAATGGGCGAACCAAGCATTGGGAGAGGCATCATTGAAGATGATATTGCTTAACTGACAATAACTAAATAATACAACTTGCACATGGAGTGTGGGAGCACGATAAGAGTATGTAAACATGCCATACGGTAGCCCAAGAATCTGCTCTATAAACCAAAGTAGGAACAGTTATAGGACAACTTTTCATCACCCACAAAAAAAAGGACAACTTTTCATGTTGAAACTTAGAGGGCTCACAATAGTTACAACGTGGCAATATTTATGAGCAAAACTGTAACCTAGTTGCTTTTAATCCTGCTGCAAGACATAGAAACATAGAAAGAATAGCACTCTGACAAGATGGAGCTTCAATGGTGTTAGTTCAGTGAGTTACAATAAGAGAAAAACGCTATCTTACCCATTCTAGTACTGAACTGCAACGAAATAAAACTATGATTTTTCTCAAGGGGACAAGCTCTCGGTTTCATTATTGAAACTGTGTGTTCCAAAACGGAGGGAGTATTCAACATTATAATACACCTTCCTGAAACCCACAGAAACATCAGTGCATACCAAAATGCTAAGCTAATTACAAGCCAACGAGCAAACGTCAACATATCAAACTACTACCAGATAGTAAACTACCCATATTACCCAAAAGGACAAACGCCATCATCAATTCTTCTACAATAAGTGAAGATTATCACCACAGGAGCGACTCTAGTTTATTTTCTAGTCAATCTCCAGCATCTAAGACATAATTTTTAGGAAGGGTCGGAGCTCTTACTGAGCGTTGAAATGTACTCATGGACTCGCTTTTGTTTCTCCTCCAACTCCGCGATCATCTGATCCGCAGCCTCGTTGATCATCCTTGGGAGGTACTTTTCCATCCGGTCGAACCACTCCTGCAATGTCATGGTCTCAAGACTGCTTCTAACAGCACATTCCTCCACCTTTGCCCCATCTCCTACATCTCCTCTACTGCCAAGCAAACCCCCATTGCCATCATCTTCCTCTTCTCCGCCACCCATTTCCCAATCACCCTCATTGTCAGAAGCAGCACACTGAGCAGAAGCCTCTCCTCTACTGCCAAGCAAATCCCCATTGCCATCATCTTCCTCTTCTCCGCCACCCCTTTCCCCATCACCCTCATTGTCAGAAGCAGCACACTGAGCAGAAGCCGGCCCCTTGGGGACTTCCTCCTCCAATGCCTTTGCAGCCACCTCGATTTCTCCATCGTCAGCTGCCACCTTATCCCCCTTCTCTTCCTCCCCCTTCTCCTCCTCTTCACCATCCTTTACCGCTGTGGAAGTCGACAGATTGCCAGGCTGATCTCTAGGCGCAGCCACCTCATGTTCCTCCTCTTCCTCCACTTCCTCGTCCTCTAGAACGGCCTTCCTTGTACTAGCCGCTCTTGTGAACCTTCCCTGGCCCCCTCTGGACCCCGTCTTCAGAGGCTGTGGTGGAGGGGCGACCGTCGGAGCATTCTTCTTCCTCCCACGGCGTGTAATCATCTGGGCCTCCACATCGTCTTCCTTCTCCAGTTCAGGAGGCTCCGTATCCTCCTTCCGCGTCACCAGCAGGGCTTCCTCCTCCTCATCTCCTTTCTCCGACTCAGCAGCTGCTGTGGTCTTCTTCCGCCCGCCAGCACGCGGCGCCAGCGGGGCCTCCTCCTTCTCCGGTTCAGAGGGCTCCGCGGCCTTCTTCCGTCCACCACGGCGCCTCCCCTTCGGGGCCTCCTTCTTCCCCTCTTCCTCCTCCTCGTCTCCTTTCTCCGGCTCAGCAGCTGCTGTGGTCTTCTTCCGCCCGCCAACAGGCGGCGCCAGCGGGGCCTCCTCCTTCTCCTCTCCCTTCTCCGGTTCAGAGGGCTCCGCGGCCTTCTTCCGTCCACCACGGCGCCTCCCCACCGGGGCCTCCTTCTCCCCCTCTTCCGTCTGTTCAGGGGGAGCCACTGCAGCCACCTTCCTACGTCCGCCCCGGCGGGGCTTCTCCTCCTCCACTACCACTACCGCCGCGTCCGGCACTTCATTCTCCACCTCGGGGATCGCCGCCACCGCTGCCTTCTTCCGTGTGCCCCGGCGGGTCGCCGCAGGGGGCTTCTCCTCCTCCACCGCCGCCGTCTCTGCCGCATAGCGCGAGGAGCACCTAGTTCCGGGGTCGGCAGCGGTGGCGGTGCTCAGATCCGAATTGGAGGGGATGGACACGGCGAGCACGGTGGACTCGCCGATCTTGATCAGGTTCCCATGGGAAAGCGGGGTGGGAACAAAGGGCTCGAGGGGCACATCGTTGAGGAAGGAGCCGTTGGAGGATCCCAGATCGGAGGCGACCCATCCGGCGGCGGGCGGCGGGAGGAACTCGATGGAGAGATGTTGCTGCGACGCGCCCTTATCGCGCACGGCAAAGTGGTTGCCTTTGATGACGCGCCCGACACGGAGCACGGATCCAGCGCTGCACTGGCAGATCTCTCCCTTGCGCGGACCCTTCTCCACCGCCAGGGTGAGCACCGGCGGCGGAGCGGCCATTTGGGGGTTTGGGGGAGTGAAAGTGGGGAAATTTCGAATTTCGTGGGGGGAGGAGAGAGGGGTTTGAGCTTTTGGAGCTTTTGCCAGAACCGCAAAAAACTACGAAAATGCCACTGAAGAAACTTTTCCAGGCCCACTAGGCCGAACATTTTAGCTCTTTTTCTGAGACAGGCCGAACATTTTAATTGGGTCGACCCCGTCGGGTACGGGCAGCCCGGGCTCAGATTTTGGACCAAGCCTGATTAAAACCAAAATTTTAAAATATATAGGATTTGATAAAATAAATACGGAAATTCCCTCGAAAAAGGAGAAAAGTATGGAATAAAAATAATAATTAAACGCAACTGATTGATCATGTGCACGCGTTGATCGGGTTGTGATATGGGTGAAACCACCCCAAACATTTACCCGTCCTTCAGCTTACCCATCATTCATATCTATACGCGTCAAAAAATACAATTTTTTTTCTATATTCGTCACCCGACAGAGTAGTCAGGTACCCACGGATACAAATACCCATGTTTGCAAAGCATCAATTTGAGCGGCACATAGTCCTAAACAACATATAATCATAATTTACGCACACCAACACATCATAAAAGGAGTATATACTTATAAAAAACATCACATCATAAAAAACAACACATTCCAATAAACAACATTACTTTCTCATACAGAAAAACATATCAAAACAACAATAAACAAACAACACGTAGTTGTACATTTTAAGTTCATAAACTGATGACAAAGTGTAGAGGTAACTTGGTCATACTTGTGAGATTTTATATGGGTACATTAGGTATACGGGTGTGGGTTATACGATCTCATGCCCATACCCGCTCTACCCGGTGGATTTGAGAATTCCTATTTATATACTCATGGGTAACTTTCTGTCTCATACCCTTATCCTAATAGGGTTTTTACCTGTCAGATACATGGGTAATGGGTACTCATTGCCATCCCTACATCCAGCCCCACGCGCGACACCCCATCTGAACAAGCATCACTCGCACCCGCATCGTCTTCATCTCCTCTCTTTGTCTCTCTCCCATCTCCCTTTTTCGTCTTTAGATCAAGCACTCGTGCTGCTACTGCAAAGTCAACATCGCAACTCTGATGAACTCTAGTCATCCTGCTCGAGGGACCAACGCACAATGCTACAATCTATTTCCTCTGCCTCCAGATGAAGCACAAGTGCGGCCGCTGCAAGCCACTTTGATAACTCCTGTGAGCTCTGATCGGCGTCTGCATGGCCACGACATTGCAAGCCGACAACACAACTCGTCGAAGCTCTTCTCGCATGTTGCAAGGCCAACGGTGAGGCGATATAATCCCTTCCCCTGCCTCGATATCAAGCACGTATATGGTGTTTCTACAAGCCGACAGGTCAAGGTGTCGCGCTTCTGCAAGCCGCACCATAGCTCCGGCGAAGTCGCAAGGCCAGGGTGCGGCGCTTCAACTTAGATGTGCATGCTGCAAGGGGAGGTAGTGGGTGACCACTCGGTGCTTCATGGGGCATTGTGGGTGTTGCAATTCAGGGAAGGCAACAGCTGCAAACCATGGGACGACTACTTCCACGCCTATGTGGCTTGCTGCGAGCAATGCCATGAGGACCCAAACATTGTTGCAAAGGGCCTGAAGTATGTTGTGGATTGGTCGATGTCTATGTCGCTGTTGACTGGTATCTTCCCGGGCGCATATGGAGATGACGCTCGAATATTATCCATGGAAAGACTGTACCACCAGTGGAGTCGACTGTTGATTATATTGATAGTTACTTCAAATCCTTACGTCTTGCCCGGGACTACTCGATGAAAGAAATTCTTAGAGGGAAGATGATGATCGAGGTTGATGTGAGGCCTCTAACACATGCAATACCGATGGTGCAACCAGCATGTCGGCCTCCTCCTATGTAATGCTAGGTGCCACTTCAGTCGACAGGTCTTAGTCGTTGGATGATGGAAGTGCAACGGCAGGTATGTGAAGGAAATGTGCCCTAGAGGCAATAATAAAGTTGTTATTTTATATTTCCTTATTCATGATAAATGTTTATTGTTCATGCTAGAATTGTATTGACCGGAAACCTTAATACATGTGTGAATGCATAGACAAAACATTGAGTCCCTAGTGAGCCTCTACTTGACTAGCTCGTTGATCCAAGATGGTTAAGGTTTCCTAACCATGGACATGAGTTGTCATTTGATAACGGGATCACATCATTAGGAGAATAAATGTGATGAACATGACCCACCCGTTAGCTTAGCATATTGATCATCTAGTTTTATTGCTATTGCTTTCTTCATGTTAAATATATATTCCTTCGACTATGAGATTATGCAACTCCCGAATACTGGAGGAATGCCTTATGTGCTATCAAACGTCACAACATAACTAGGTGATTATAAAGATGCTCTACAGGTATCTCCGAAGGTGTTTGTTGAGTTGGCATAGATCGAGATTAGGATTTGTCACTCCAAGTATCGGAGAGGTATCTCTGGGCCCTCTCGGTAATACAAATCATAAGAAGCCTGGCAAGCAAAGTGACTAATGAGTTAGTTGCGGGATGATGTATTACATAACGAGTAAAGAGACTTACCGGTAACGAGATTGAACTAGGTATGTGGATACCGACGATCAAATCTCGGGCAAATAACATACCGATGACAAAGGGAATAACATATGTTGTCATTGCGGTTCGACCGATAAAGATCTTCATAGAATATGTAGGAACCAATATGATCATCCAAGTTCCAATGTTGGTTATTGACCGGAGAGGTGTCTCGGTCATGTCTAAATAGTTCTCGGACCCGTAGGGTCCGCACGCTTAACGTTCAATGACGATTTAGTATTATAGGAGTTATGTGATTTGGTGAACGAATGTTGTTCGGAGTCCCAGATGAGATCACGGACATGACGAGGAGTCTCGAAATGGTCGAGAGCAGGGCAGTACCCGAGAAAATGGAGGCCCGGTGCAAAATAAAAAATTAGGCCCTTAATATAACAATTGTCAATTACAAAAATAAAATGCTACGGAGTAGAAGATATATGTCATGTTGGTAGTGAAATTGTTTGAAGAACTAGATTTATCAGAAAGAGTTATCGAAACATGTCATCCTTCTAGCATTCTTTTATACATAATCTTCCATTGGTTTTCATCAAGTTTGGGTTGCTTACCACATTTGCGACATGGTGGTCTTTCATTATTTATTCATAACCAATCTTCTACCAAATATTATTTGATTCTTTCACTAAAAACTTATCAACAACACCTTCTTGAGAGCAAGTGGTTCATTTGCTAGAAATTTACCATGCATTGCAAACAAATTATAAACAAAAGGGATGAAACAACCTTTGATTTATTAGAGAACAGAAGACAATAGGGTGACCGGTGACAAGGTGTGTCTCTCTGGTAGTCTGGTTCAGGGTCTGTTTCGCTTGCTCCTGTTGATGAATCGGCGGCCAAGCTATTCGGTCTGGCCTCCAACTCCAGCAGATGCATCGAAGTAGCATAGGCAGCAAGAAACAATGGAATTTGAAAAACCAGAGGAGACATGATGGATCCAGAAGAAAACACCAAATAAATAGATGGTGGATTGAGTATGGAGTACCTACTCATTGCAATAAGGGATTTAATTTGGAGAAATTGCGAAAGAATTAATCCACGGGCATGATTGTAATATTAGAAGAGGAAGAGATTTGGCCTTCTGCGCTTGTGTTGGTCGCTGGAAGATAACGAGAAAAAGAAAGAGATTAGGAGGAGGGGTGCGTGAGATTTATGTGGAGTTAATACGGTTCAGGTTTCCAACGAGTACTCCATATTGGTCAAATGCCTTGATTAGTCATAGAATTAGTCATTAGTATTAGGATCACATAAAAAAATTGGGGCCCCTGCTCATCCGGGGGCCCTGTGCAGTTGAACACTTTGCACATGTGTCTGGTACGGGCCTGGTCGAGAGGTAAAGATTGATATATAGGATGATAGTATCCAGACACCGGAAGTGTTTCGGGTAGTATCGGGTACTTATCGGAGTACCCGGGGGGTTACCGGAACCCCCGGGGGGAAGATATGAGCCATATGGGCCATGAGAGGGGAATAAGGACAGTAGATATAATGCAAAAATAAAATATGAATGGATTTGCAACAGTACTTATAGTAGTGATTTGCTTTCTTATACTAACGGATCTCATGAAGGTTTTGTTGAGTTTTGTGTGATTGAAGTTTTTTTGTGATATTACGATGGATGAAGGAATAAGGATTAGCAAAAGGCTAAGCTTGGGGATGCCCATGGCACCCCAAGATAGTATTCTAGAAGTATCAAGCAACTAAGCTTGGGGATGCCCCGAGTGGCATCCCCTCTTCCTTCTAATGACCATCGGTATTTTACTTGAAACTATATTTTTATTCGTCACATATTATGAGTTTTGCTTGGAGCGTCTTGTATGATATGAGTCTTTGCTTGTTTTACTTTGTATTTTTAGTCATGAATCCTTGTTGGACACACCTATTTGAGAGAGCCAAAATTATGCTATGGCTTGTTAGAATTGCTCTCTATGCTTCACTTAAGTCTTTATGAGCTATGCAATTGCTCTAGTGCTTCACTTATATCTTTTTGAGCATGGTGTGCTTTAGTATTTTTGGAGAAATGCTCTCATGCTTCACTTAGATTTATTTGAGAGTTAGTAAATTTTTTAAGAAATTCTCTCTTGCTTCACTTAAATTATTTTGGGAGAAGAAATTTTTTGTGCTCATGTTCTTCACTTAGATTTGTTTGAGCTATCAAAAGCAACATATGAAACTAGTCCCAAAGTGATAGATACCCAAGGAGGATATAATAATAACTTTCATGAAGATCATTGGACAAAATAAACTTGATTGTTTTTAATAGTTTTGCGATATGTTGATATAATATGTGAGTCATTTTGATGAATAATTATGATTTAGTAAGAATATTGGTGTTAAGATTTGTGATTCCCTATGCAAGCACGAAAGTCAATAGTTA